GGCCCGGCGGGCGGCCTCCGCCCCGGCGGTCGGGCCGCTTCCCCGGGGCTCCTCACGTCTGGCTGGTGAAGGCGATGGTAAAGCTGGTTTGCTTAACCACCAAAAGCCACCTGTGTGTCCAAATGCAGTCACAGGCAGTATTTGGCAACATGAGTCAAATCCCTGTGAATCCTTACCAAATCCTTAATCCTTAGAAAGAAAGGTTTTAAAGTACAATTCCTCTCTGCCGGGTAACTGGAGCCCCCGCCAGACCCCCCGAGAGCTCAGCACCGCCTGCCCCTTCTGATGGAACTAAGTTTGTAACTCCTGCCAGCACCAACACAGTTCTGACAGAATAAGCTGGTTTTAACCTACACTTTCATTGCGCTGATGTATAAGAAAAGGATAGAGAGAAGATGAAGGATACTTCAAGCCACGACATAATTTCTGATCTTAACTCTGCACTCCACAGCAAATGATTGCAGGATCAAATGAAAAAAGCCTGCTGCTAAATGTATGCCAGGCAGAAGTAAAGCGGGGCAAGCTAGTCTAACACCAAGATAAAACCTTTTACCTGCAAGATGAGCATATTTGATCTAGATTAGTGAGGAATTACTTACTTACAAACGTTGCGTTTTCCAACGCTGCTTTGAGAGTCCAGTTTCAGCCTAGATCAGTGCCGATGGCACAGCAAGCATTTGCGCACAGAAATAATTTTTCCATGTAGTTGCTCTCTTTAGACTGAGACTACGGAGAGATGACAATGCCCTCCAAATGATGGTTTTAAACTATCTCACAACCTTCCACATATTTGGTTTCCAATAAACTTTTAATAGCTCTCTTTAATGACTTGAATGTAGACTGAGCAGCAAGCTGAAGAGACTGAAGAGTGACCAAATAGTGATAATATTACTCAAGAAGGCAGAAGGAAAGGATTTTCAGTGCATCAGCAGATTCAGATTGACAGGTAGGCAGCATGTCAGCTAGATTCAAGTCCCATCCAAGGATACAACCAATAACCAGGACTCTTGTAAGCTTTGCCAAGCGGATGAGTCTGCAGATTTGGGATCCTCACATCAGCCTTTTATGACAATTAAAGAGATTGTATGTGCCTAATGCAAAAGCAAATCCAGAGCCACTCAATGCTGTCAGCAGAATTGTTAGTCCACATGTCTAACTGGAGCATCAAAATATCTTTAGTAGTATGAAGATACTCAGTCATCCCCTTCCTATATGTCATTGCTGTGAAATTACTAATTGCAATGATGCTAGAGCAGATGATGTTAGGTCCAAAGAACGTTAAAAAAAGCCCTCATTAACAGTTCATTTCAGTCTTTTCTTAGCACTCTTATTGTTCTTCTTTTGGATTTCAGACTACCTAGTCCAATAGTCCAAGTGCAAGAGGGGAGGACAGGGAGGGACTAGTTTATATGAACGAAGCATTGCCGTGGTCCAAGATGAGTAGAAAATTCTAGAGGAGATACCAAAAGCAGCAGAGCCCTTGGCATACTATGGAGAATGCAATGGCATCCAAACAGTTGAGAAATGTTCATAGTTCATGTTCTTTTTAACTGTTGAAAGTCAGTCCTCTCAAGGGAATGCCTCAGACCGGACTGTTCTAAGGACCTTAAACCCTGCAAATCACAAATAGATTGACTGGGATGTATCATTACTTAGCAATGCAGAAAGCTCCTTGTGCAGAAAGCCCCCAGTGTCCAGTTTGATGGACTGTGCAGGCGTCTGCCATTTCTTTCTTGAAGATTTTCTGGGGTACAATCACTTAAAACCTGTTGTATACATGTCGCAGGATTCTTGAACAGCTGCTAACAACCTTTAATAATGGCGACTCCATAAATGTTATAGATGTTGACAGAGAATACGACAGCTTAAACAACGCAAAAAAAAGAGCTATACTTGTAAGCAAAAGTGGGGAGTCTGTCCTTTTAGAACGCCGCATATGCTCTCCTAGGAGAAAATTCTGAGATGCTAACCTAGGGAGTTCAATCTCCTTCATGTCCGATGATCTCAAAAACCGCAGGATTCGGCAGGAAGTCAGGCCGAATAGCTTTCATGCGTGAAGTCAAACGCAGACCAGATGCTACACTTTTCACTGCAGGCATTTATTTCTCATTAGCATTTTCTCAATAAAACTCCGTTGCTTATCACAGTACAACTTCATACCCAACTAGTACAAGATGCTGTATTTACTTTCTCGTAACTCATTTTCACTGTGTTAAACTGTCTCTGGAAGCGTTTTGCAGCAGGATTCTGTGTATTCTTACATTAACCTGCTCAGTAGGAACACTCTTTGGCATCACACTTTTGAATGGGCCTAAGCCAGAAATGGATCTTGCCATTTTTCTGATTGCCTTAATGAAGAGCTTCGTATTAAATCCTGTAGCACAACATGGCCTGCGGTTGTCTGTTGTATCTTCCTCTAAGCTGCTGTTTTTGTTAACTTTGAGTTGAGGTATCAGGCTTACAAGGTTTTGAGAATATTCTACTCCCACTGATAGCAATAGAAGATGAAGACAGCAAGCACTAGGCTAATCCAATTCTAAATTTAACAAAAAACCCCCATGCTTTTCTTCTGTCCTCATCCATCAGTCACTTAGAAGTATAGGCACAGACTCTCAGCTGTAATCCATCTTCCTTGTGTAACACAGCCAGAAAAGTCCATCTGGAGACCCCGCTGGCATGGTGGAAAAACTCCACATGGTTTAGCACTACACCAGCTGACTTCTCCTCTGCTCTGCCTCCTTGCCAAGTTCAACTTACCAGATTTGAAAAGCCTGTGTGAAGAGAGATGCCTTATTCGGATGACAAAGAATGGCGCAACACAATGGGTCTCTCAGCAAAGCAGGGCTGTGCTCACTCACCTCAACGCGGGCCAGCTTTAGAGTCTCACCATCAAGAATCCTTTAAGGTTTTATACCCTTTGAATAAGACAAACACCAAAGGCTCAGTAACATGAGACCATAAAACAAAGTGCTTATGTATCTTCCTAGTCATCTTGCTCCTAGTTGTACACTACTGTGTTTCACTGGCTTTTTCAAAATACTGTGTGAGCTGGGGAACAACAAGGTGGGCGGTAGCTTTTACACTGTTCTGCAGTGGTGTAGCCCACCATCAAAAGGTGTAATATGCTCATTCCGCTGCTGGTGGTCAGCAATATGTGGAAACACCAGGTATTTGCAAATCATGAGGCTTCATCAGTATTTCCTAAAACATGACTCTTAAAAAAAAAAATAAATCTACAG